AAAAAATAAAAAGAAAATATGAAAGAAACCTCCTAACTAAATCATTAAATAATAATAAATTACTTTGGAAAAACCTGAGAACCATCACCTATACAAATAAATGTACTAAAACGAATACTGAATTAACTAATCTAAAAGCATCACCAGTGGAATCAGCAAACTTCATAAATCAATATTTTGCGAATATCGGTAACCAACTTGCAAATGATATCCAACAAAAAGTAACCCAGAATGACCTGAATCTTTATCTACGTTCTTTACCTAGTCTCTCTAAATCTTTTGTTCTTCTGGATACAGATAACAATGAAATAAACTCTATTATTAACTCTCTAAAATCGGATAGTGCCCCAGGATGGGATAATATCTCTACTAGGTATTTAAAACATGTTAAGAATGAAATAATTCCAATTTTGACACATCTGGCTAATCTTTGTTTTACGCAAGGCATCTTCCCTAGCTCCTTAAAAAAATCAATAATAACCCCTATATACAAGAATGGAAATGAGGGTGATATCAACAATTATAGACCAATTTCTGTTATTCCTGTTATAGCAAAAATATTAGAAAAACTTTTAAATTGCAGACTATTAAGTTACCTTCAAACCAACAACATTCTATCCCCATCCCAATTTGGCTTTAGACGAGGTATCTCTACGGAAGATGCTATCACATCTTTAACTTCTTTACTTACAAAAGAACTTGACAAGGGAACTAGGTGCTTATCTGTTTTTATTGACCTAAAAAAGGCCTTCGACACGGTTTCTATTCCCATTCTTGTCCAAAAACTGGAGAAAATTGGTATTAGAGAAACACAACTAGCTATATTTACAGATTATCTAACAAACAGAAAACAGAAGGTTAAGCTAGAGAACTACGTCAGTGGGGAGGTTGACGTTATTTGCGGTGTACCCCAGGGAGCGTTTTGGGACCAACCTTATTCCTCATTTACATTAACGACTTATGTAACATGTCAATTAATAATGCCAACATTTTTTCGTATGCCGACGACACCGCAATTGTCTTTACTGGCTCAAACTGGGCTGAAGCCAAAATCAGTGCTGAAAATGGTTTGTTACAAGTAGCTTCATGGCTAAAAACCAACCTTCTAACATTAAACACAAGCAAAACTAATTACATATGCTTCTCAATATATAAAAATGTCCAACCAGATCATGATTTCAAAATTAAAATACATGAATGTAAGAGTGTAGCAAATCACAACTGTAATTGTCCAATCTTAAGTAAAGTCAGCCACGTCAAGTATCTAGGTGTAGTGTTGGACCAAGGCTTGTCCTGGTATCCTCAAATCGAAAAAATTACTGCGAGAATACGTAAGTTTATTTGGATTTTCAAAACTCTGCGTCATGTAGTCCCTAAGAGTGGCGAATCAAAAAACCTTCTAAATGAAGTGTATATCTCGCTAGTCCAATCAGTGATAATATATTGTATTTCTATTTGGGGAGGGGCACGTAAGACACGTTTTCTTGAAGTTGAAAGAGCACAACGGACATTAGTAAAGGTGATGTACTTCAGGAAGAGGAATTTTCCCACTTTCGAGCTATATCAAATTAGTAACCTATTATCAGTCCGAAAATTATATATTTTACACATAGTACTAAAAAAACATAAAACCATACCATTCGATTTTAGAATTTTGGCTAGAGGAAGAAAACACAATGTTGCTTGCACCACTCGGGTAAAAACAGAATTTGCTAAATTTCAGTACGATACACGCTCGACTTACTTATATAATAAAATAAATAAAGAAATACATATCTACGCTAAACCGTTTAAAGAATGTAAATCGTTACTGTTTAACTGGATAAACAAGTTATGTTATGATGAAACCTACTGAATCTACCTAGAGAATCTACTGTTAAATAAAAATTAAATCTAAATTAGGCTGTTCCTATTTACAAAAACCTAGTTGCGTGTAATACAACACACACATAGTCACACACACACACACACACACACACACACACACACACACACACACACACACACACACACACACACACACACACCAACTTATGATACACAGACTTATGATATAACTAGACTTTCAATTATTAATTTTAACTATTGTAACGTATTACACTTGTATGATATAAAAGAGCGGCGCCTCCTGGTACAGGCATTTATATGCTTAAAAGGGGACGCCACCAACTGTGTAACTTTGTATTAACGTGTAATAATGAAATAAACATTTTTGATTTTTTTTTTTTTTTTTTTTAAATATAATATACTAGCAATATAAAAAAATACATAAATAATATATAAAAAAAACAATAAATGCGTTTAAGTTAAAAATATAAAAAAGAGGAGCTACAAAACTTTCTACGTTCGCGTCGTTAGCTCTGGGTAATGCTAAAGGAAAGATGAAATTCTTAATATAATTTTACTTGGGATCAACAAAAAAACTAACATTTGATATTGCTTCCCTCAAGTGGGTGCCACAATATTTTCGCCCGGGGTGTCAGTGGCCCTTAAACACTTAACACCAGGCGAGATAGTGGTCGAATGTCGGCCCATCAAATATATAAAAAAAATCGTTCACGACCCACGACTAATGTTACATTATTGGTGCAGTACACCAATGTAACATTGTATATAACGGTCAAGTATTGTTAAATAAAACAAAGACGCTCAATCCGTTAACAAGAGTATATTAAAAAAAAAAAAAAAACAATGTCCCAGGGATGGGATCAAAGGCCGTAGGGTGAACTCATCTAACTTCGTGACAAAGGCATTTGAGTAATAAAATACCAATAAATTATTAATTAATTTAATTCAGTCTCCGCATGAGTTTTAATCAGTCTTTTATGAGGAATATTAGCACAAATAATCAGATTTTTTTCTAGAAACCTAAGAGTTCTACCAAATTTACTAAACCCAATTATTAGGCGAGTCACAGAATTAGATGAGTTCACTATATGCCGAGTTCTATCTCTCCGATAAAGCCGTACTGTCCTGGGTCTTATTCCGAGCCGTCGGCTGGGGGTAGGCAGGCAGGTGAGGTAGGTCCCTGAGTGCTGCTCCTGCTACGTGCGGCGTCCGCAGATCCACGTCGGATGACGTCCGACGGGTAATTTTGAATCTGAGTACATCACATACACACACACACACACACACACACACCCACCACACACACACACACACACCCACCACACACACACACACACACCCACCACACACACACACACACATATACGCAACTATATATAGTTATCATTTTACATTTAAGTATAGAGGTATATTTATTACATAGTATTGCCATTTTTATCTTTTATGTATTATATGTAGTCTGTAAGTTTCATTGATTGTTTAATTTGTTTTTTTTTTATTGTTTTTCTTCTATTTTGGTTTTATTTTTATTGTGCAACTACCACCCATTCCCAGATTCTATTCTAAAATTCCATCCAAAGGTTGTCTGGAAGAAATCGCCGCGTGTGATAAGACCGCCCATTGTACTTAAATTACTGTTGCAATGTTTACAATTTTTTTCTGTGTGTGCAATAAAGTATAAATAAATAAATTATTGGTGCAGTACACCAATGTAACATTAGTCGCGGTGACACGTTATAGCAAATAAGGAATTTGGTACAGCGCCTTAATTTTAAATGCTGACACTCGCGCGTGGCTTACGACTGTTAATACGAGTGTCAGCATGTCACGGGCGTAACAGTAGTGTCGGCTACCACTATTAAATTTTAACTAGCTGTTGCCCGCGAGTTCGCTCGCGTAGAATATGTTTATTTTTTGTTTCGATTTCGCAAAATAAAAGTAGCCTATGTTACTCCTTTGTACATTAGCTACCTGCCATTAACAGTCTTGCAAAATCGGTCTAGCCATTCCAGAGATTAGCCAGTACAAACAGACAGACAGATAGATATACAAATTGTAAAAAAATATTTTGGTATGTGTATCGTAAGTATATTCTTATGCATGTAGTAAAAAGCGGTTATTTTAATATTACAAACAGACTCTCCAATTTTATTTATCTGTATAAAGCGACGCAATGTAAGATGAGTGAAGTGTTATTAATAAAACACCTATAAACTAAAAATCGCGGGTTACTCACGCAAATATGCTGACGCCAGTAGGCTGCGCGACATCGCCGCGACCGCGCACGCTGCTCATGAGGAAGAACCCCTCTGTGGTTCGAAACTAGTAGAGTTTTTCTCAGTATATTCACGTGAGTAACTCGCGATTTTTAGGTAATTTAGTATGTCTCACGATAGTTACTATAAATACAAAACACCAATTACTAGATGATTGTCACTGAAATAAATAAATAAACTCATAATACATTACCAAAACACCACGCCATTCTCGAAGAGGTATTTCTAGTCGGTTGGCACGTGCGATGCGAATAGTGCCTGCTTTACGTCTAGTGTTTCATACGCGTAATTCGATGTTTTTTTTAAACTAATAAAATTGGGATGATGACAGGGTACGAAAATTAAAAATCTAATTAGTCCGTAAGTTAGGTAATGAAAAAATATTAGACACGTATTTTTTTATTTTGTCGTATAATAAAACAATACTTAGATAAAACGAATCAAAGTTTAGGAGTGGGGGCTAAAACGTCATTTCTACCAATAAAATGTACATAGAAGTGACGTCACGCGACATTTCAAATCAATACATCGTTGAAAGTATTCGTTTCTGTCAGAAAATAAAAAATACGTGTCTAATGATTTAAAATAACCTATCAGACGGACATTAAAATAAAAATTAGGCATCTACCCTATTACATATTAATTTATTGTTCTATTTTTACTTTATACGTCGAAAGTACTCCTTATGGCAAGTTGTTTTGACGCGGAACGAAACCGAAATAGATTTCACATTGTGTATGCTTGCAGATATTTCAGTTCCTAAACTCAAGAAATAACCAGCCCAGACATGCTCAAGAAATAATACAACAAAAATAAAATTTCAAAATTATATTTACAAAATACTCACAAAACAACAATAACAAATTATTCAACAATTTAATAACCTAAAACTCCATTGTAACCACAACCGGGTGCGGGAAGACCGTTGAGAGCAAAATTGGGAGCACCGTAACCAGGTAGAGAAGGTCCATAGACTCTGCCGCCAGGAGCGACACCGTATGGACCAGCAGGAGCGACGGGAGCGACTCCCTCGCTCACAATACCAACAGCACCGTTACCGCAACCGTAGTTAATACCACCAGCTCCAGCGCTGGCTAAAGAGCCCTCTACAGCCACAGCTCCTAAGAACGGCAGCTCACCGTTCACGGCTAAAGCACCTTCGATAGCATTCTCCGAGATGACTGTGATGCCAGTTGGAGTAATGGGGGAGAAGCTGCTCACTGCGAAGCCACCACCGTTACTTGGTACAAAACCATTGCCTGCCAGTCCATAAGCGTTGGATCCTGGGTAGACGATAGGACCAGCTCCTAATGCTCGACCCAAAGCTAACTCTTCAGCCACAACAGCGTTCCCATTTAAACAACTTACACCGATGCTTTGAGCAGAAATAGTCTGGAAAAGAGAAAGAGAGGCTTAAAAAAGAAGATCACAAAAGAAATGAAAATCGTGTAACAAAACATAACATCACGAATAGGCAGAGGTTCACATTCTGGCGTACAATGCCACTGTACAATATAACACCTACTTTTCACTGTTTATGTTATGAGTGTCATGTAAAGAGGATGAACCTATTGCCATAGCGTGCACAATTCCAGATTCCGTGCTACTACTGAGAATTTTATTAAACTGTCAAACCCCAAGCGGTCACCGGTGACCGCGACTTATTGTTCTTTAATTGTGTCTATAAAACCGGTACTCGACGAGTTAAAACCCAGTAATACTTTGCCCAACCCGGGTATCGAACCCGAGACCTCTTGCCCGGAGTCGCAATTGCGATCACTCGGCTAACGAGCCAATCGTGTAACAATATTAACAATTAATGAATTTAAGTGTGAATAAAAAAAATGGTCTTAGAACTGGGTGGTTTTTAGACAGTAAGAGTCTGACACTGCCTCACGCCTCAATCAAGGCCGGAGAAGTCATTGGATAATTTTCTATCCTTATAAAAATGTTTAAGTAAATCCTCATCAAAAGTATACTGGGTTTTAAAAAAAATCTCAGTAGTAGCACGGAGTCTGGAATTGTGCCCGGTATATGACAATAGGCTCACCCCCTATTACATGGAACTCATAAGAACATAAATAGTGAAAAGTGGGTGTTACATTGTACATAGTTACATAATGTGCACCTCGGCCTACCACTTCGGGAATAGAATGCGTGATGTTATGTTATAAAAATGCTTAAGTATAGTATTTTAAAGAAAAATTTTCTTACCTTCATTATAAGAGCTGAAGCGATCAAAAGAACGAACTTGGCGGCCATATTTATTTTTTATAGTAGTATTGACTGTTCGACAAATCTATTGAATGATAATTTTCAATAGTGTCCTGTACATTTTATATAAAAATATTACATGTATTATTATCTTGCATTTGTCAATTTGTGTTATAATTATTGACAATTATTCAAGGAAATGTCATTTGTTATATTTGTAACATTTTATATTCATAATGATAAGATTGTGAATGTTGTAATTTGTGTAACAATATCTATATATATAAAATTCAAAGGTGATTGACTGACTGACTGACTGACATAGTGATCTATCAACGCACAGCCCAAACCGCTGGACAGATTGGGCTAAAATTTGGCATACAGATAGATTTTATGACGTAGGCATCCGCTAAGAAAGGATTTTGATAATTTCCACCCCCAAGGGGGTAAAAAAGGGGATGAAAGTTTGTATGAAACTTTGTCAGTTTTTAACTGATCGGGTTGAAATTTGGCATGCAGATAGATGTTATGACGTAAACATCCGCTGTGAAAGGATTTTGATAATTTCCACCCCCAAGGGGGTAAAATAGGGGATGAAAGTTTGTATGAGACTTTGTCAGTTTTAAACCGATCGGGTTGAAATTTGGCATGCAGATAGATGTTATGACGTAAGCATCCGCTTTGAAAGGATTTTGATAATTTCCACCCCCAAGGGGGTAAAATAGGGGATGAAAGGTTGTATGAGACATTGTCAGTTTTAAATCGATCGGGTTGAAATTTGGCATGCAGATAGATGTTATGACGTAGGCATCCGCTGTGAAAGGATTTTGATAATTTCCACCCCCAAGTGGGTAAAATAGGGGATGAAAGTTTATATGAGCCTTTGTCAGTTTTAAACCGATCAGGTTGAAATTTGGCATGCAGATAGATGTTATGACGTAAGCATCCGCTTTGAAAGGATTTTGATAATTTCCACCCCCAAGGGAGTAAAATAGGGGATGAAAATTTGTATGAGACTTTGTCAGTTTTAAATCGATCGGATTGAAATTTGACATGCAGATAGATGTTATCACATAGGCAACCGCTAAGAAAGGATTTTGATAATTTCCACCCCTAAGGGGGTAAAATAGGGCATGAACGTTTGTATGAAGCTTTGTCAGTTTTACACCGATCGGGTTGAAATTCGGCGTGCAGATGGATATTATGACGTAAACATCCCTTTAGAAAGGTTTTTGAACATTCTCACCCCAAAGTGGGTAAAATAGGGGGTGAAAGTTTGTATGAGACTTTGCCAGTTTTAAATTGATCGGGCTGAGACTTTGCATGCATAAAGTTACTATGACATAGGTATCCCTTTAGAAAGGATTTTGATAAATTCCACCCCTAAGGGGATAAAATAGGGAATGAGAGTTTGTATAAATCTTCTTAGCCGTTGAATTTAGAATCATTGAATCTTTTTGAATTACATTCGGTAAAACGATGATTTAGGACCTGGGTAACGTATGATAGTTTTTTCACAGATGTCTCACGAGAACGGTAACTATGCGTCAATGCCCCAGGACTCTCTAACTCTTAACCACTGAACTTATTCTAGAGAGATTCGGTATAACAATAGTCGATAGAATAGTTTTTATTACTCAAACCTTACGTGATCGGGCACTGTACTGGTAAGATCCCTGCGGGATTATTTATTTATTGACAATACGATAAATCATTTCAAAATAGGTAAATTTTACTTGGGCACTGAATTGATTCTGGTTAATTCTGTCAGAAGTCATTAATCTACGCGGACGAAGTCGCGGGCAACAGCTAGTTGTAATATATATATTGACTGCCTCGTTGGCCGAGTGGTCGCAAGTGCGACTACCGGGTTCGATTCCTGTATCGGGCAAAGTATTACTGGGTTTTTAAAAAAAATCTCAGTAGTAGCACGGTGTCTGGAAATGTGCCCGGTATATGACAATATGCTCACACCTTATTACATGGGACTCATAACATAAATAGTGAAAAGTGGGTGTTACTTCTGTGTGCACCTCTGCCTACCCCTTTGGGGATAAAAGGTGTGATTTTATGTTATGTTAATATTATAATTTTATTCCTCGTATTAGATAAATCGAGAAGTACATATAGCGTGTTTTCACAACTATTATATTAAAAAAATCTCAGTAGTAGCACGGAGTCTGGAAATGTGCCTCGTATATGGCAATAGGCTCACCCCCTATTACATGGGACTCATAACATAAATAGTGGAAAGTGGGTGTTACATTGTACAGTGGCATTAAGTGCCGTAATGTGCACCTCTGCTTACCACTTCAGGGATAAAAGGCGTGATGTTATGTTACATTGGTTTTTTAGTTACTTCGATTTGACTAGCATATATAATTATATAACATTTAGTAAAGTCTACAGGGATACATATAAAACAGAAACATTGTATGTGCATAATATAAAAAAAAACAGTTAAGAAAAATGCTTTATTGTTTAAATAAAAATAGTTACAAAATATAAATAAATAATATTCGAAAATAAATTAATCTTAATATCTATAGCGTTTGTCGCCATACTTTGGCATATATACCAGTAATTGTGATGTCGCCGCCCAACGGCACATTGGCATTAAACAACCTCTTACCAGTTATTGGTACGCGATGTTTTACGGAAATTCTGCCACATCAATGGCAATTCGTCACTGACGCCAGCTACTGCGCCAGTGCCAGACCATTGGCCTTGTGCCACCTTTGGCATCCCAGCTCCATTAAACTTTTGGCTTGGCATTGGCATACCAGCTCCGTTGGAAGCCTGTCTCACACCGATGCCCAAACCAATGTTTGCCATGCTCGGGTTCATAAAAGCGTTGTTGTTTGCCAATAAGGATTTATATGGGTTAATCGGAGTCTTAGGCACCTCAGGAACCTTTGCTAAAGTGTCCTTAACGATGTCAGATGCCTGACTTGTAGTTTGACCTTCAACTTGGATGTTGCGAGCTCCATTTGTAGCTGTTCTTGGGATGACGGTTTTGGAAATACCCAAATTTGTTAGCATGAAATCGTTACTGTTTGGCACTATGTGTGAACCGTAAGTGTTGTGTTGGATTGGTACTATTGGAACCTTTGTCGATGTTTCAATGACCGGGCCAGGTTCCAATTTGGGTAATTGTCCTTTTACTTGGACATTGCGAGCTCCATTTACCGCTTGTCTTGAGACACCAATGCCTAAACCAATGTTTGCCATGCTTGGGTTCATGAAAGCGTTGTTATTTGCCATTAAAGGTTTATAAGGGTTGATTGGGGTCTTGGGTACGCCAGGTACTTTGGCTAGTGTATCCTTGACTAAGCCAGATCCTTGAGAGGTAATTTCATCTCCTAATTGGATGTTCCGAGCTTCGGTTGAAGGTGTTCTGAGCATGACCGTTTTAGACATACCTAATGTTTTTGTTGATGTGGGAATGACAGGGCCAGGCTCCAAAATTGGTAACAGATTTGATACTCCTGGAATCTTTTTTGCTGTTTCAATGACTGGACCAGGCTCCAGTATGGGTAAAATACCTTCTAATTGCGCGTTGCGAGCTTCAGTTGATAGTGTTCTTGGCATGGCAGTTTTGGGCATACCCAAGTTCATTGTTGATGTGGGAATGACAGGGCCAGGCTCCAAAATTGGTAAAAGATTTGATACTCCTGGAATCTTCTTTGCTGTTTCAATGACTGGACCAGGCTCCAGTATGGGTAAAATACCTTCTAATTGGGCGTTGCGAGCTTCAGTTGATGGTGTTCTGGGCATGACGGTTTTGGACATACCCATGTTTTTTGTTGATGTGGTGATGACAGGGCCAGGCTCTAGTATAGGTAATAGGGTGGATGCTACTGGAACCATCGTTGACGTTTCGATGACTGGGCCAGGCTCCAATGTTGGTAACAGCCCTTCCAAATGGGCGTTACGAGCATTGGTACCAATGTTGGTCATCATTGGTACGTTTGTTGGTTGACTGAGTGCATACTGAAAGCAAACGACATATTGAATTAGCCACGTATGAAAATGCACTGTTCGATACTGTTTTTATGACTATCTGAGACTGTTTTAGACGTCCAGGTTACATAAAGAGCGTGTAAGTTATGTATTTTGCAGGCCAGTGAATCGAGTAGGTACAAACTTATAAAATTCGTATTACTTTTAAATATTGTGACAAGTATCGGAAAGGTTTCCAACCTGTCCTTTAGAAGTAAAGGGCTCAACCTACAGAAGGCTACGACTTTTGACTTTGACTTTTACTTTGATTTTGAGCTATTGCCAATACCGGGCACAATATTCCAGATTCCGTGCTACCACTAGGATGTTTTTCAATCCCAGTAATACTTTGCCCGACCCGGGAATCGAACCCGAGACTCCTTGCCCGGCAGTCGCACTTGAGACCACTCGGCCAACGAGGCAGTACGTTGCCCCACTCCAGGATTTTCTCCTGTATCGTGAGTGCATTTACAAACATACAAGTTCACATGACCCAGACCTAGAACAAAACTCTTTGGATCACACAAAGACTTGTTCCATGCGGGCATCGAAACCGCGATACGTTGCGTGGCAGCCAGTTGCCCAGCCACCGCACCAACCGAGCACACAAATCTTAGTTATAAAATAATATAAAATGAACCAACCTGCATCAAGCAAATCTGTATCACAAACACAACAGACGACACCATGTTGACTTCGTAACCAAACAACCTATGTATTGATCTTTCCTCCGCTCTCCATACAAGAATGATTTCCTTTTGATAAAATTTTGATATTTATATAAATACTACATTATGCCTTATCTAGATTCTTCTCAGGACCAGGGTCAGACGTTCAGATAGAAATCTATCAATAGTCACATCTCGGTTTAATTGATGATAGGCTTTTGTTTTTGTGTCACGTAATGCATGATTGTTTTATAAAATTAAAATTTGCGTCGTAAGAATAGAGAGATATGCACGTATTAAAATGCAGATGCAGCAGTTAAGATGTTGCAAGCGAATCTGTTAAACAAAGGATAGTCTTGGCTACAATTTTGATGTCTGACGAAGCAAAAATATTTAGGGTTTTTCTAATTTTAAACTACAGGGTAGAGTTTTCTTTATGGCTTATTAAACGAGCAGACGGATCACCCGATTGTAAGCAATCCGCGTCGTTCATTGTCACCTGAAACACCAAAGGCATTGCTAGTGCGTTACCGGCCTTATACGATTAGGAATTTGAGGATTGTTTGGATTTAAGGAGGTGGATGGGGATTGAAGGATTGTAAAAGAGAGGACGGGATAATTGGGCCACTGGTAACCTCACTCCATTCGATGAAACATAACGCAAGCGTTGTTTCACGTCGATTTTCTGTGAGGCCGTGGTATCACTGCGGTCGAGCCGGCTAATTTGTGTTTATTTTTTTTCCTTCACTGTTTGTCAGTGGTGTCTAGAATATAATCTTAGAAAGTACTTATAACTCGGGTAAAGGCACATTGATACTTGCCGTTGGTAGGTTTAGAACTCACATTCTCATGCATGAGAAGCGGGCGTCTTAAACCTCCGGGCCATTACATAGCTCCTTTAAAATCTAAGTCACTATTAGTTATTGCTTGTGACTACTAAATTAATTCTAACTTTATAGGTCAAGTCAGTTCATAAGTAAAATAAAATAACGATTTGAGAATAAAACGAAATAACATTTATTAACATAAATAACGTAGTAATTAATAAACAGCTCCACAACCACCCATACCCAAAGCTTGCCGGTTAACGATACCATTGGCTATACCAGGACCGTATCCAGCATTAGCGTAGCCTATTCCAGCTGGGTAAGCGGGACCAGGAGCGACTCCTTCGCTCACAATACCCACGACGCCGTTCCCACAGCCGTAGTTAATACCACCAGCACCAGCGCTTGGCAGGGCTCCCTCTACAGCCACGGCTCCTAAGAACGGCAGCTCACCGTTCACAGCTAAAGCACCTTCGATAGCATTCTCCGAGATGACTGTGATGCCAGTTGGTGCGATGGGAGAGAAGCTGCTTACTGCAAAGCTTCCACCGCTACTAGGGATAGCGTTTGGTAGTCCAGGGTTGGTGTACGGTCCATAGCCTGCTCCAGCTCTATAGGCCAAGTTTCCAGCCAAGGCTAACTCTTCAGCTGCTAAAGCAGGTCCAACGTTGTTGATAGCTCCAATGCATTGTCCAGAGATGACCTGTAAGAAAAATGGAATTTAATCCAGTCCAGACATTAGCCAAATTGTGGCCAAACCTTAAAAAGAAATCTCATTTAGTAATTGTTTGGAATTGTGATCGATACATGAGGTTCGTTTGATCATAAAGAGGGCTTTTAACCTAGTCAAATTACTGTATTTGAGTAATAGTGACTATACAACTGCCTCGTTGGCCGAGTGGTCGCAAGTCCGACTGCCGGGCAAGGGGTCTGGGGTTCGTTTCCCGGGCCGGGCAAAGTACTACTGGGTTTAAAAAAAAATCTCAGTAGTAGTACGGAGCTCACCCCTATTACATGAGACTTAAAACATAAACAGTGAAAAGTGGGTGTTACTTCTGTGTGTACCTGTGCCTACCCCTTCGGTGATAAAAAGCGTGATGTTATGTTTTGTTAAATGTTATGTGACTTTTTCAAAATAGATAACCAAACATCAAATCAAAGGCCACCAATCAATTGAGCGTAAGAAAAAAAAAAAAAAAATATTAACCTGGACAAAGCAAGCTGTAGCGCAGAAAACGATGGTAAACTTAGCAGCCATCTTGGATTTATGTTCCTTCAGTTAATTCAAACAATTGTATGATAATTACAAGTTGAATAAAGAAGTATTTATACTGATTAATTACTTAAATATTTAGTAATCGTAATGTAATTTATTAATTTAGTAATCGCTGTAATATTTTATTTGTGATAAGATTGTGATAATTTTATTACATGTTACAATTTTCTAATTTTTATTTTGTTATACTAAGTGTAAGGTGGAAGCAAATCTTTTACTCGACCTGGGTGCTTACTCTTGAAACCAATCTCAACATCAATGCAATTTCAATCTTATGGTATGGTATGGTCAATGGCTTAGAATGTAATGGTGAATTATTCAAAAAGAAAGTAAAATCATTTCTCGTTGGAAAGGCCTATTATAATGTCGACGAATTTCTACAAGATATACTTGACTAATAAAAAATTAATAAAATGCAATTGATTTATATAATTTTGACATAACAGATTTGACATATTTATTTTTATTAGTTTTTACTGATTGACATTATTATATATTATACCTATACTGTTGTTGTTGTAACAGTAATAAGTAGACATCATTTTTTAATTATTATTATTATATTGTTTTTAAATGTAAAATGACGGTTACTCTGACATATTATTATCAATATTCCATCAATGTCTAATATTGAATAAGGTTTCCACATTCGAAAAATGTCGGTTAGTTCGCAATCACTATGAGTGACTACTATATTTGCACGCCATTGTATACGGCAAACATGTCTCGAACATTTTTCACTGTTACCCGCTATCTTGCATGCTATTGTTTATTGATGTAGGTACACATGTGTTTGAGCAAATAAACATGATTTGATTTGATTTGATTTGATTTGATTTGATTTGAATCCAATAAAATCTCAATAATTATCCAATGTCAAAACTATACAACCCTTATCGTAGCTGCTAAAGTAGCATTCAGAGTACGTAATATAAAACCAAACTGAATACTACTTAGTTCATGAAATATCCACGCAATACGGATGCAAAAGGCGCTAGTGTTATGTCAATCGATCGGAATTGGATTCAAGAGTAAGCACCCTGATGGTTAGAGGTCATCCTACCTTGAGTATATCTACAACACACATCAATTCAACAGCCTATAAGTGTCCACTGCTGACCAAAGACCTCTTTTCACACGGAGAAGGTTTAAGCATCAATCACCACGCTTGCCCATTCCGTGTTAGCGATTTCAAACCTATAATTCGAAATTATAAGCCCAGGTTTCCTCACGAGGTTTTCCTTCACCATTAGTCTGTGGTGTCTAGATAATCTTAGAAAGTACATACAACTCGGAAAAAGTCACATTGGTACTTGCCGTTGGTAGGTCTCGAACCCGTATCCTCATGCATGAGAAGCGGGCGTCTTAAACCTCTGGGCCACCACGACGACTAGCTGAAGGTATTGGTACGATATTTGGTTCAGGGGTAGATTACAGTGCAGAATCGCACATAGGCTATTTAATCCAACGGTATCGTATTTAGACATCACTGTCTAAATTATCTTATAAAGTGCATAATATAACTCGGAAAAGGGCACATAGGTACTTACTGTTGGTAAGTTTCGAACCCGCAAACTGCATGAGTTTGCGGGTCCGAGCGGGCGTCTTAGACCCCCGAGCTACCACGATTCATGACACGATATCTACAAGATTGATGATTGTAGTGTGGGAGAGCCATCTTTGGCACGAATGGGCCGGCTCGACCGGAGTGATACCACGGCCTCACAGAAAACCGACGTGAAGCAACGCTTGCGTTGTAACGCCTAATTAAGGATAAACCTAATAAATGCTTTGACTTTGAGGTTGTGGCGACACATGACATATGACGAGCAAATCAAATTGACGACACAATTCCTACATCGCACATGCAAAGTTTACATGGAAATAAATACGGATAGAAAGCCCCAACGAATACCTGCTAAGTAGAAAGCCTGCCAGGCTTCACTTCGCCTGGTCGTTAGGATCCATTTTTCAGATCTTAGCTCAAAGTCGGCTCAGCGCGTAATGGAGAGAGATATGCTCGGGGATTCTTTGCGCGAGCAAATCCGAAACATGGAAATTCGCCAAAGAACTAGAGTTTACCAACATAGCTAGCAAAAATGGGCAGGACGTGTCGCTCGACGGACTGACGGCAGATGGACCAGGCAGGTCGTTGAGTGGAGACCACGGACCGCTAGGTGGACCGACGACATCGCCAGAGTGGCAGGGAGCCAGTGGATGCAGGTGGCGAGTTGTCGTTCGACGTGGAAAACTAAAGGGGAGGTCTTTGTCCAGCAGTGGCATCTTTCGGCTGTTGATGATGATGAAGAGGGACGTTTATATAACCAATTTAATATTTGTACGCCTCATGGCAAAACACAGGGAACCATATTTATTTATTTATTGTAACACCATTATATATTCGGGCAAAGTATTACTGGGTTTTAAAAAAAATCTCAGTAGTAACACAGAGTCTGGAATTGTGCCCGGTATATGGCAATTGGCTCACCCCCTATTACGTGGGACTCATAACATAAATAGTGAAAAGTGGGTGTTACATTGTACAGTGGCATTAAGTGTATGTGCACCTCTGCCTACCCGTTCGGCAATAAAAAGGCGTCATATGTATATACCTATGTTTTACAAATAAATCTTCCGATTCTGATTCTCTATTCATTGTTCCCCAAAAAAGTAAAAGACTCATGATGTATAGAAATTAAATAAAAAGACATAAAAAGACAAGCCTACATTACATCAACATAAGATGCGTGATGTAAGCACAAAAGCCTATACCGATAAGACCAAGATAAGAATTTTTGTGCTTTATCGAAACATCTAGCAATTTTACTGAGAAAAAATCTCGATAATGTTCAATATTCCTATCGTAACGTATAAATACGCTATCTCATGTTAAATTAATTCATTATTATATTAAGAGTAGTCCTTATATCAATTCAAATAGTGATTATGGTGTCGCCAGTTGTCTTTTTGGTCCAAATCTGCTTGATCCAGGTTGGTAAATCATTATTAAACTGTCAAACACCGCGAGGACACCGGTGACCGCAACCTAATGTTCTTTTATTGTGTCTATAATGACGGTACTCAAAGGGTTAAATTGATTAATCCAGTTTTGATTGCTTTATACATTATTTTTTCACATTAACTAAAATTGCGGGTTACTCACGTGAATATACTGAGAAAAGCTTTACTAGTTTCGAACCACAGACGGGATTATCCTCATGAGCAGCGGGCGCGGTCGCGGCGATGTCGCGCACCTCACTGTCAAACTAGTAGTTCGAAACTAATAGAGCTTTTCTCAGTATATTCACGTGAGTAACCTGCGATTTTAGTTAATTTAGTATATCTTACGATACTTATTATAAAAAACATCTTTTCACATTGTTATTTTTTTTTAAATACTGCACTAGAATTTTCTCCTGTGTCGTGGGTACAAACACGCAAATTCACATACACATGACACCCAGACCCGAAACAACAATTTATGGATCACACAAAGCGTTGCTCCGTGGGGGAATCGAAACCATTACTCGTAGCGCGACAGCCGGTTACCCAGCCACTGCACCAAAAGTGCAGTTAGTTAGTCGCTTAATTCTGAAATTGCAAACCAAGGAAATGCTGATTCAAACTCTGTCAGACACCAATGAGATTTTTTCAAAGCTATATTTACTTACTGTTTATAAAGATTGTACTAACCATTGGAAGATAAACATTTTTATGGCATAAGCCGGTAAACGAGCAGATGGATCACCTGATGGTAAGCAATCAGCGTCGCCCATGGACACCTGGAACACCAGAGGCGTTACAAGAGCCTTACCAGCCTTTTGGGGATTAGGAGTTTGAGGATCGTTGGGGATTCAGGGATTGGGGAGATTGGGGAAGGGGAGGGTAGGGTAATTGGACCTCCGATAAATCAACTAACAATAAAATCTTAGCCGTTCGTCCAATAATATTTTAATTTTTTTCCAGTATGCGCTCAGTCAACGACTCAATACACAAACTATGAACAATGTAAACCAATTCAGAACCAACGCTCGCAACATCCAATTACAAGGACAAATAACAACTCCAGAGACTGGTCCAGGTTTGGACATGTCAGCCAAGGTCCCAGTCACATCAAACCAGCAAATCGACCTTGGCACACACGTTGTGCCAAGCAGTAATGACTTCTTACTAACCAACTTGGGTGTGTCCAAGACCGTCATCCCTAGAACGCCTTTAAATGAAGTTCAAATCAAAGGTCAAATTACAACTCAAACAACTGGCCTCGTCAAAGACACACTGGCCAAGGTTCCTGGAGTACCCAAGACCCCAATCAACCCTTATAAACCCTTATTGGCAAACAACAACGCTTTCATGAACCCAAGCATGGCAAACATAGGTTTGGGCATCGGTGTATCTAGACAATCTTTAAGCGGAGCTGGTATGCCAAGTCAAATGATTAATGGAGCTAGTATGCCAAGCCAAATGTTTAACGGAGCTGGGGTGCCAAGCATGCCGTATGGCGGATCTGGCAGCGGTGACGTAGGTGTCACTGGTGAATTGCCAGTGAATGGCGTGACGTCGGTTAAAGGACAAGTGCCATTGACTGGCAAAGTGTCGTTTACTGGCAATGTGCCATGTGGCGGTATTGTCACAATAAGTGGTACCAGTGGCGCGAGTGGCAATAAAGTGCCATATGCACAGGGGCCATATGGCAATAAGATTTACGGATATTAATTTTTATTTATAATTGTGTAATATTTATTTACTAAATATTTATTTGTAGTTTGTAAAAATCAAATGTATTGAAATAAAAAAAAAATTAATACTTATTTTGTTTTTATTATTATCCACCGTGATTATAAGTCTAGTATTTTCATTTATTTAGCTTTATGTTTGTTTTTCAATACCATAATACTTTGGACATGTAAATACGTAAGTATAGTAATGAACTCGCCCTATTACATGGCTGTAGTCAAGTCGTAACACAACAGACTTCACGC